AGCAAGATAAGATCAGACAGTTTAATGTCTCACCCACCACAAATATCAATACATGCAAGAACTTAAACTTATTTCAATCATTTTCCCATTAGTATAATATTGTAGCACATTTGATCAACACACTGCCAGGCTACAGCTCTGTAAACATGACACATGTACAACAGTAGAGCAAATTTATTTTATTCATATTTTATTACTAACTAGCAAGAAATATGCTGGAATATCAAAAAGAAAATGTTACAAAAAATGTAAAAAATATATAATCTCAATAGCTTTAAATATTCTGTAAAGGCAGCTACATTTATACTGAGATACTGACTCTACAGATTAGCAATAAACACTAAACAGCACTGCTATCTAGAGAAACTAACATATATAAAACAGAATACTGACAAAAGAACAAACTTCAGCCTTACATACACACAAATATACATATACACACACACACAAATATATGTGTGCATGCATGCATGCATGCATATGTAAAATATTTTAGCTTACTGCCATGGTATAAGCTCAAGACAAGTAACAATATTAATCCATCTTTACATCATTTCACCCCTGCAACTGAAAATAACATTTTATAACCACTAAGGGACTTGGAATCTGTACAATCCAATTTATATTATATAATAACTCTACAAATTTTCTTGCATCCACTATAATTATTAAAAGAAAAAAGACCTCTTCAACGCAGTTCTAGTCATTTATGTAGGATATACTGCCGGTGAAAGAATAGTTTTACCTGCAGGGAGTAACTTTTACAAATAAATATTATTCAAAACGAATCTGGAACTGTTTATGTAAAATCTTTGTTGAAAACAAAGAATAAAATAAGTGCTAACAGTGTAAAAATTAACAGCTGAGCAACAGAAGCTATCTTCCCAGCAGGGTACTGAAAGACATTATTGACAGCAAAGGCATGCCCAGAAAACTGTATATTGTGGAACTTCTTAAAAGGAACTTCCCACCAACTTATATGACATTCAGTCTATTCCTGTATACTACAGCATTTGCTCATTCTATGCCACTGAAGTAAGTAAGGGAGGACTTTGTAGGATTTGAGGCTCTTACAGCAGTGGATAAGAAAAATCTTATCTTCCAGGATGTAGCCCATTGATAGTCAACTGACATTTCAGAGGAACATGTTGGCTCTATCTTCAGGGTTTGCTTGATGCCTGTTTCATGCTAATTTCTTGGTTGGCTTACACTTTGACACTGAAGATGGAGGTGACATGCTCCTTGGAAACATTGGCTGACTATCAATGGACTACAAAGTGTTATATCCCAGAAGGTAGGACCCTTTGACGTACGATTTTAGTAAATTCTTACCAAGGAAATCAAATACAAATCATAAGTCAATAAAGTAGGGGGCATGCGGTAGCGTAATTGGTCAAGGCACTATGCTACAAGCCAGAAGGTCGCGGGTTCAAGTCCCGATGAGGTCACTGGATATTTTCAATTGACCTAATCCTTCCAGCTGCACTATAGCCCTGGGATCGACTCAGCCTCTAACAGAAATTAGTACCAAGAATATTCTTGGAGTATAAGGCAGCCACCACCTATGAGCAGATTGTCCAGAAAATGTGGGAACCTCAACATCTCACAACCTTATGTGCCTCCACAGCCTGTTACAAGGACAGCCTTACTCTTTCTTTTAAGTCAATAAACCAGTCAAACCTGCAGCTCCTATGAAGAATATGGTCTTCTGGGTTT